TGGGACTAAAACCTGTGTTTTCATACAACATGTAATGCTGAATCAAGTTATTACAATCAGACCCTTGAGCTGAAGGTATCTTCTGTTTAAGAAACTCCTTAAGCTGCCTATCAGTGTGTGCCAACTTGTAGGAAGTAAGGATGGAATAAGAGGATTATTGCAAGATGAGATAAAATGTAATCACCACCTTGAAATTGCCCTCTCTCCGCCACTGACCCAGACTGTCTCATTAACCAAATTCTGCTGTAGGAGGTTATTAAATATCCACATTGCTATTTCATATTTGTTCCTGCATGATACAGTTTTTCCCTACGTAAGGAGTTATCTCCCTCTGGCCATTTTTGTTTATGCTGGCAGCATGTGACCTGTCTGCTGGTCTCCACTGGCAGTACATCTGACTAGTTGGAATGAGGAGACTTTAGCTTACTATAGCTTTCACATGCTGAAAACTAGACCTCCAGCTCACACAGTTAGTTTGGTCTGTAAAACTGTGTGGCTCGTTAGGGAAATCCATAGAGTTTCTTCCCTGTTTGGAAAAACTGGTAATGTGTTTCCAGATCCTAAACTAGCAAGACACACCTGTAAGTTATTCAGGACAGGAAGGTTGCCCCCTTTCCTTTCACCCATCTCCAAGGGATCATTCTTGTACTATTTATAACTATAAACTGATTTAAAGTTGATTTGTAAGAGAGCATTTAATGGTATGCTTTGCATATGTTTTCTCAATAGCAGTATTGGCCATTTTGAAGGTACTAGTGTGGTATATGACAGAAACTGAAAGCAGGATTAAAAGGAAAGCAATTCACAGTAACATTAACCAAGCTGACTGTAAAACCTCTCTCTCATTCAGGAAATATGTTCAGTAAGAGCAGCCGAAGTCTCCCCTTTTGCTTGTGTTGATTGATTGCGATCGCTTCGTTCAGCAGCCCTTACAGTGAGAACGTAAAATGCTCTGTGTATATGCGTGTGCATATTATACAGCATTTTTCTGACATACATTTACGCATGAACGCTTACTGCCTAGAATAAAAAACAAGTACGAATGCTTATCTTATTCTTATCTAGTTGTATGCTAGCAATATGAAGAAACCATTTTATACAGTGTATGTTTTATACTTACTTCTAAAACTGAAATAGTTGTTTTCAGCAGCACTAAGGTGTAAGCATCAAATAGTAGCTTTTATTTCAAGTATTTAGCCTTTCAAAGTTTCCCTTAAAACTTTGACTCTCTAGTTTCCTAAAGTTTTCCTTCTTAGGTTTTGTTCATCCACAGGAGCCCAAAGGCTTATTAGTACTGAACCAGAAACATTATTTTTCTGTTCCCGTCAGCTGTCTTTTATAGTGGTCAGTACTGGGACTTTATTGTTGGTAGGAGCCACTTTGGTGTTCCATGTATTTGGAAGTGTGATGGTCATTAATGACATATGGCCCTGTGGCGATGGCTGATGTAAGGTAAGGCTCAGCCAGTCACTTGTCTCCTAGCTGTTCACATATACCAAGCAGGCTGTGAAGCAATTTACATGATAGTAAAGAGCAATGAGGAAAGGAGAATCTGTCTCCAACCCTGATCTGAGTACAAAGATGGCTTTTCCTCCTTCCTGTATCCATCTCACCCCATCCCATGCACATCTGGATATGGGGCAGCCACAGACCTTGTCTTTATGCTCTCATTCGAGGGCATGACATCCTCTTTTTCAAGCTGGCTACAAGCAGTGGTAGTTTCCCAGTCCGGTAACTGCTGAGTTTGTACTTTATTAGGCAAGACCGGTTGCCTTCCATGTGTTAAGCCCAACTTGTGTTCGTGCTTCCTTTCAAGACAAATTTTTGCTTCAGTACCAAGGGGTATGGAGATGTGATCAGAGGAGGCATGTCCAGCTTTAATTTACCATAAGCTCATAGAAGAGTCACATGAATTTTTCTCAAGGATGAGAGCGTTGAAATTGCTTGGTCTGCAGGGTAAAAAGACTTCAGAGTATAATGTTCTTAATTGTTTTTAGAAAGGGGAAATCGAATTTCAAAACATTCCAAAGGAAGCAAGCCTTTTAAGTGATTCTAAATCACTGGGGTGCTTTAAAAAATAATTTCACTGTAACCTGAATTTTAATTGCCTGTCCCTTTCTCTTATTGTCATGGTACTTTCATCCCCTCTGTTTTCCTGGAAGAGAGTGTTGTTATTGCTGTTTATTTTAAGAAATCCACTGGAATGTGTCCTGCAGTGCAGCAGAATTTCAGGGATGGATATGTTTTAATATTCTGTATTATGAATATTTTTTATATCTTTGTAATTAAAAAAATTAAGTTTTAATGACTGCTCTCCTATAAACCCTGGACTACTGGATTTCCAACATAAGAAGCTGAGGACAGACAATGCCAGGTGCAGCTGGAAAATTGCTGAAGCCCCACAACATATCATTTTTTAACATTGTTCAAATTAGTCTCAACACTCGTAATTCTGTTGTTTCCTTTATTGCTGTTGTAAAGCAAATGGTTCTTTTATACAAATGTTATCTCCTGGCTATTAATTCAGCAGTTATTTCGGATTATGGCACTCCTGTTAAATTTAGGAATGTAAAACCTCATAAATATTTAAAAGTTTCAGACTGACGTGGGAAGAAATTGTTTTTGACTTGCTTTGTTAATATCCTGTTGTTCAGTTTGTAATAGATTTGGAATATATTGTTATTTCTCCACTGTTTGACAAAGGGTAAAACAATTGTAGTTGAGCAACTGCTTCAAGTGTTCTCCCTTGAATTGTAACAGGTTGGTAAAAGTGTTTGTTTCCAGTAAAAAATAGCAAGGAAAATATCTGTTTTCTTTTAAGAGGACAAAAAATACGAAAATTTTAATCAGAGCCTACTTCAAAGTTAATGAAAATGCAGTAGTAGGTTTGTAAAGATAGTTTCGATAAAACAATTTCAAGTAGGTCTACTTGCAAGCAAGTGCTTCTGTTTCGGCATCTTTGTTATTTAAACTTCTTTCTGAGGAACAAATGAGTAAGATGGACAAATGTGTTTCTTTCCTCAGTGATGTTTTAGAGAGTGTATTTACTATGCAATGAGTGTATTTGTAAAATAAATATTAGTATGCATCTTGAGTATCCCCCAAAGCTCTTGAAGAATAACTGAATGATAAAAAAGTCACAGTTTTTGTAAGACTGCTGAGGGTCTGGACAGCACAATCTCTGGGCCAGCGTTCCTGTTTCACACTTAACCATGTTTTCTTTCTTTCTTTACCTCAGAAATAAATACATAGCTTTGCAGCTAGATCTTAAAGAGTGTTAAGGTGTAACTCCTGTTGGGATCATCTAGAAGTAATTCAAATATTTCAATAATTATTCAAAAAAAGATGCTGAATTGATTCAACCTGGATAAGTATGTTAGCAGACTAAGTATGCAGTTAACAGAGCTTACATCTCTGCCTGCATGCTCCAGAGGTTCTTCAGCTGCCTCCTGGGATGACACCTGACTTGATGGTTTTGTTGCATTTCCTATGTCAGTTAACCTTACTGGTTGTAACGCCGTGACTTTTGTGGTCTTGGCATGCTTTACTGGGTGCTGAACTGGAAGGACTTTTCTTCTAGCTAGCAAGTAAGTTAACGCTGCAATGTTAATGCTATTTTATGCTAGGTTTACGCTATCTTCTCTTATGTGGTATAGCTAAACCAGCTTAATGTCTGCATAAAGTAATTACTGAGGTGGCACTTTCCCTTTGGCTAGAGAAAGCTTTTTACATCTCAATAACTTGTTGTAGTTAGGGTGCAATATTTCAAAACACAAGTTTTCAAAAAGGAAGCCATAAGGTGGTCACATAGAAGCTGTAACTGTGAAGGTGAACTTACGGTTGCATGAACAAATTGTTATTTTATGTAAGTGAGTAGCTGGATGTGCCACACCAGCTGAGTCCATGCGATTTTAACTAATTCAGCATAGTCTAGCTTGTGGCCTGTGGTCTGGATCCAGCCCCTTTGTGAGGTTTCTACCTGACCCATCACCTTCTCATTGCAGGAGACAGGGAACAGATGCTTCTTCAGCAAATGCAGCCTCCTCCACCTGCCCTCTCTAGGGAGATGAGTGGCAAGTCCAAAGGGGCGTAAGGAAGGGCAGACAAGCCTGTGAGGGTTGTCAGCACCTCTGCCTGGCTCCTGCAGGTGCTGCCACTGGGCTAGCCACCACACATCTGTGTGCACAACTGTATGCATTAGCCAGCCCTGCAAACTCATTTGTATGTTTTTGTGTGCACGAAAAGCTCATTCCTCTCTTACAAACAGAACAAAAGTCTGCTGTTACATGGACAAAGCAAAACATAAGGCTTTTGCTATTGTTTATTGACTTACTACATAATCAGCACGTTGAAAATTATTTTTAGTTTACTTTGAAAATTACTTCTGCTAGACCCTTCTTGTATTACTCTTTTTTTTGGTTCTACGAACGTGTAGTAAATAGTGCAAAGCAAAGGGCACTTGTATACTTACAAATGTAAAGATATTTTGGATGAAGAAATTCTGTAGAGCAGTATGTTTACTTTGCATTTCTGAATGGTAGCAATTAAAATTCACAGCTGCTGGCTGTCCAGATGTTTCTTGTATTACAGCATTGTAATTTGCTTTGGAATATATTGTGTTACTGCAGTAGCTGTAAAGTGGTCAGCTCTCTCAGTCTAAATGCTGTATATAGGCTCCAGTCGGGATGGTGAGCATATTTCCTGCTCATATCAGGTTCCTCTCCTTCCCACTGTTTCCCCGCTCTGTTAGCTTGACATGTTTGTATTTCTCAGATTAAGACTTCTATT